ATCTGCTTCCATCAGTTGCTGGATGAAGATTCTATGATGACAATTAAAGTAGTCATCAATCTGATTGCTCAAAGCACGTGCATTTAACCTTTCTCAAAAAGAAGAATGAAAAAGAGAAGTAGGAAGAGAAAGTGATGGTTGAAGAGGGAAGGATGAAAAAGAAAAGGAGGAGTTGAACTGAGGTAAGAACATTTTATGGTGTTAGCTGAGCTGCTAATCCTAAGGAACCCTCTGTTTCTTCAATGTGCCTAGTGTCCCTCTGCCTCTCTGCTCACAGTCTTGTTTGGTGGCAGCGAGGCTGGTGCTGCGCTCTGCCTTGAAAAGTCAATTTCGTTTATTTTAAATAAATGTCAGTTAGTTTCATTTAACCTTATAACCCCCATGTCTCCTTCCACATGTAGACCTTTCACTTTAAATAGCTTGTTTATGCAAGTTCATGTCATCTTAGAAACAGGTTAAGAAACAGCAGAACCCTGGAAGTGTTGGTGATGGTTGGTCTTTAATTACCATAAGCATATCAGAAATCACAATGTTGGATGACCTTAGTCCAGTGACTAGTGTGTTATCAAAAAGACACAAATGCCTCAAATGGCAAGAGTTACATGACCATGGCAACAGATTCCCAAGTAATGCTGCTGAGATCCCTGGAACATCAAGGGTCATAGCAACCACTAGAAATCAGGGAAGGTAATCAGGGATAAGGTCCCATAGTGTTCAGTGGCAGTATGGATCAGTCAACTCCAGAATTCCTAAATTCCTGTTATTTAAAAGTACCAGGTTTGTGGCCATTTGTTTCATCAGCCACAGAAAATTAATGCAAATAGTAAATAAAAATATAAATATAGTCACAAAGTCATGTAAATGTTTTCCTTATTTGAGTAGGATATTTTTTTGCTGTTATTCCAAACCTTAAGTGGCCAAAACTACCTACATGGCAGAAATTATGGGGGTATACAACAAACAATCAAACAATATAAGCAATAGTGGAGAGGCTACCTTAAATGCCCTTCTCCGATAATGAGATTGATGACTACTTTATATGCCATCCTAGAGGCTTCATCCAGTAGCTGATGGAAGCAGAAGCAGACACCCACAGCTAAACACTGAGCCAAACTCCTGGAATTCAGTTGCAGAGAGGGAGGAGTGATGAGCAAAGCGGTCAAGAGCAGGCTAGAGAAACCCACAGAAACAGCTGACCTGAACAGGGGAAGCTCATGGGAAACCAGCATAGGACTGACCCAGACCCCTGAACATGGGTGTCAGTTGGGAGACCTGGGCAATCTATGGGGCCTCTGGAATTGGATCAGTATTTATCCCGAGTATACGAATGGACTTTAGGAGCCCACTCCACACAGACAGCCCAGACACACAGGGGAGGGCCTAGGCCCTGCTCTAAATGATGTGAAGGACTTTGAAGTTACCCCATCAAAGGCCTCACCTTCCCTTGGGGGGCAGAAATGGCATGGAGTAAGGGGATGGGGTCAGGGGAGGAGGGGAAGGAGAGGGAACTGGGATTGACATGTAAAACAAGCTTGTTTCTAATTTAAATAAAAGAAAAGATTTGGCAGGAAAAAAAGAATTTTGGGGTATGTATTTTTCCTCTATATTACACATACAAATGGCAGAAAATAGTATCTTTAGGCATATAAATAAAGTGAAACCATAAGGACATGGGTGTTGAGGGGAGAGAAGAATGATGAGAAACTCGTAGGAAGCATCTATGGTGCAAAGTCGCTATGAGCTCTGCTCTGTGCTTTACCTAAGTATTTCCACTTTGCTCTCAGAAGACATGAGCATCTGGCAATCCTTTACCCACATGCAGATGTCCACATTTGCTCTCTGGAGAATTCTCCAGGGATCATGACTGAGATTATATCATTTTTTCCTTTGTGATTTGTCTACCTGAACATTTCTGCCCCCACAATTCAGAAAAAATGACTCAAGGCACCCCTTCCACAGCTCCTTCCTCCAGGAAAATAAGGACCTTACAGGACAGTCCTTGTGCAGCTGCGGACTCTCACCCTGAGTGCAACCTTCCAGACTCCATCTTTCCATGCAAACACTACTGAGAAGCAGATATTGGTGGCTTCTGAATGGTCTTCTGCTGTGCTTTGTTCCATTTCCAGAGTTGTGCTCCTGCTTCCTTCAGAACTGAGGAAGTAGACTCTCTCCCACCTCTTTTTGTCTGGAGAATGACCAGGTGGAGGTGGTGCATGCCTTTAATCCCAGCACTTGGGAGGCAGAGGCAGACGGATATTTTCAAGTTAGAGACCAGCCTGGTCTACAAGAGCTACTTCTAGAACAGCTAGGACTATGCAGGGAAACTCGGTCTTGAGAGAAGAGAGAGAGAGAGAGAGAGAGAGAGAGAGAGAGAGAGAGAGAGAGAGAGAGAGAGAGAGAGAATTATATCTGGAGAATGGGAAGGAATGAGTGTTTGGAACTTTGGAAGTATGGTTCACATCAGAGTGCTGGAAGGATGGGCACTGGACACCATTTCTTCATGACCTGCTCTGTTCATGGCATTGAGCATTAGCATTTGCTATTCAGGGCATCACACACTGGTATTTGATATGTCAGTATGGCACATGTCTCTTAACTGACTTTTGGTTGCTTCATATAGTTTTCACTAAACTTATTTTAGCTCCAACTCTGTTGACACTAATTATTTCTTCCTCTAAAATGATGTTATGTTAGTATCATAAATGAGAAGTAAGAAGATTTCACATATGAAAGAAATCACCAGGGCTGGTATGACAGAATGGAGGAAAAAGATGAAAATTAACGGCCAGGTGAAGGGCTCTCTCTAGCTCTCAGATGTGGGGTGTAAGATAGGGTTGCCTACAATGCCTGGAAGCTGTGTAGAACAGGCTGTCTGTCCTCAGTGTTGCGTGACCCTAACACACAAAGACAGCTGAGGCTTCTAGTTGATCACATTATGCTAAAGATTAAGTCTGAACAAGACCTTAAGGGAGGAACTTGTGATAGGGAGATGAGAATGAGAAAAAGCATCCCTGAGTAAAGCAGGGCACACTCCAAGGGTCAGAAGGTATGTAAAACAGAACCTTCTCCAGTGATAAAAGATGCTCCCATTTCACAAAATCTTGCAAGAGGATAGCTATAGGAGCAAATTGGAAACTTGTAGGGAAGAACTGTAGGGTAAAGCCTCTAACAGACGGAACAGCATGTTTTTTTGTTGTTGTTGTTTTCTTGTTTGTTTGTCTGGTGTAGCTTTGCTTTTTTATTAGACAATTAAAATTGCTGAAAATGTGGTGACTAAAATGCAGATTTTAGAATAGTTTTCCTCCTTTTAATCCAAAATTGTAAAAGGAAAAACTACCTGATAAAATATTAAAGGTAAAGATTCAAATTATAACAAAGGTAAGTGAGAAAAGTTCAGGTGAAGTCTGAGTGATGCTGGTAACTTTGGTGGCTGGTGTAGTAGATTTTCTGTAGTTGCAATAAAACATTGATCAAAAGCATCTTGGTACAAAGGGTTTATTTGCCTTAGAGCTTACAAACCACTATGGAATTAAGCCAAGGTAGGGACTTGGAGGCAGGAACTGAAGCAGAGGCCACGGAGAGTGTTGCTTACTGGTTTGCTCCTTAGGACTTGCTCAACCTGCTTTCTTATACAACCCAGGACCACCAGTGCAGAGGTAACACTGCCCACAGTGGGTTGGGTACTCCTAAGAAAATGGTCCCACAGATGTGCCTGGTGTCCACTCTAATGGAGACAGTTCCTCCACTGAGATTCTGTCTTCCCACATGACCATCCAAATTGACGAAAACTAATGAGTTCCGTGGTATAAATGGTAGGAAGGGTAAATAAGAAGAAAAGGAAGCTAATGAGAAGATGATTGCAATAATCTAGTATTGATGAAACAAGAACATTGGTCAGGGTGGAGGTAGTAAGAGTAAGGAAGGAGGAAGTCAGCCAAGGCCCTGGAGAAGGAACCTTAGTGACAAGAGGCAGGCAAAGGAAAGGCCTACAATGCCCCCTGCTGTGCTCCCACTGCCCTTTTGTGTTCTGCTGTCCTTGGATTTCCATGGCTTTTGTTCTTAGTTGCATCACCTCCTGAAATTTGGGCTCTGCTTTTTGCTGATACTCAAAGTTGAGGTTGTCTTGGCATCTCTAGACTGATGCTTTCAGGTTTCCCAATGCTTTCATTCTGCCTGTCTTAGCTTTATTTCTCCTGATTGTCTATTAGGGAAGCTCAGCACATTGAATATTCAAAATTCCAAGATGGGGCAGTGACTGTAGTCAGGAGTAGAGGGCTTGTCTCAGCAAGAACATCACTAAGTCCAATCTCTATCACCACAAACACAAAAGAAATTCAAATCAAAGCCACAACTTTCCCACAGAGTGTCTATAGTACTTAGGGGTTCAATATTGAAGTTCCATCCCATTCTTGAAGTTAGGGTTAGGACCTTTGCTGTGACTGAGAAGCTATACAATAATTAGCATGGTGTTATCTTTAAGCCTGGGGGTTTTGAGTTAGAAAGCCTAGGCAAACATCTGAAGACCAAGGCTGCCTCCTGTGTAAACAAGTGCTGCTTTCTCAGCAAGGTGTGGATTTCCTAGGAGGTCCTGAGCTTAAACCGGTGCTAGGTAAGGAATGGAGGGAACTGCCTTCAGCACTCAAGAAGGAACACCCTACCTGGGGATGAATCTCTCTGTCTATCACATATTCTCTTCTGAAAGTTCCCTCTTGACTCCATTCATCATTGCCTCATAAAGCTGTTTTAACTCTACACCTTACTAAATATTTCAACACAGTTTCTCACTATTCACATAATGTTTTCCAGGGTTACATGTTGACTTTTTGTGACACATTGAGAAGACAGTGGAAATAGACTAAAATTCCTCAAACTCATAATGAAGAGTCATCGATGAATGGTCCATTATGAGGCACCCGAGGGAGGGCAGTACCCATGACTGACAGACACACACAGACTCTGCCTCGGCAGTTTCCTCTGGAAGACCATCAAGCACAGATTACCTTTCACAGATGAAGATGGATTCTGATGTTGTGCCTGGCTCTCTGATGACAATCTTCTCACAATACCAATACTGGGATTTATCACTGGCCTCGCAGTGCAGCAGCACCTTCTGCAGGTTTCCAAGAGACACTGCTTCTATTTGAAATGCATCAATCTGGTGGAGAAAACCCCTTGGAAGTTAAGTAGAGTGCAGTAAATGACAAATGCTGGCAATAAGAGTAACCCAAAGCTGTCAGGAGCGGTACAGCACTTGAAGAGAGAAAACATTACTGTAGTTAACAGCAAAATCGGCGATAAAGGGAGGAAACATAAGCAAATTACTATCTATTAAAATATATTTCTGGTTGTCTTCTCTTTTCCATTTGATTTTGTTCATTGGACTTTCAGATTTGAAAGGAAACACAACAAAAGGGCCCCCTGCTGCCCACGCTGAGACATAGCTGCTTAGGAAGCAGCTGGCAGCATGTAAAGTGTTGATGCCTACAAAGGCACGGGGGACAGTTTTGCCTTTCTCACATCCCTGTCCCTTTCCTCTGCAGTAATGCCTCTCACACACCTTCCTCTGTAAATGGAGGGAGTGCATCCTGGGGTTTGCTGCGACCGTGCAACACTACATAGAAACAGTTTATCCTGTCAGAATGCACTGATGTTTCTTAGCAAGGCAGAACCTGAATGGAAGACTTTACTGGTGAGAGTAAGGACTCTTCTCCAGAGGTCTTTGTCATAGACTGCTGCTTTATTTGGAAAAAGGGTCATGAATTTAATTAAATTTGGCAAGTATTCAGAAAAGGCAGTTGCCTGTTAGTTACTGTTAATCTATTTCCTGTTTTTGTTTGTTTGTTTTGTTTTGTTTTTTAAGGTGATTTCACACATTTGTGTGTGTGTGTGTGTGTGTGTGTGTGTGTGTGTGTGTGTGTGTGTGTGTGTGTGTGTGTGTGAATTGCCTGTGTTGCCATCCAGGGCTAGGCAGTCTTAGCTTTGGTTTCCAGTGTCACTAAGTTAAAGTTCAATTTAGTCACTGCAAGTACATTGCCAAGCCCGAAATGTTGGTTGGTATTGATGAAAGCCTTCTCTTGCTTCATCCAGACTAAAGCTGCAGCTAGTTCTGTGCTGAGTGAATCTCCTGCACAGTCCAGAACACCTTTCAAGGGCATATTTAATGAAAAGTGTCACCTATTACAGCAGAGCTAGCTGGCTTTTTAACACTGCTTGCAAGTCTGTGAAATATCATGTATTAAGGAAAATGATTTTTTAAAAGGATAAACTCTACAATGAACCATTTGTGTGGTGAGATCTTGCTTGTACAAATAAAACCTGTCTGAAGATAAGAGGATGGAGTTTGCCACTAGCTAACCATAGAGATTAGGAGATATGTACAGACAGACAGGGAGTGGCTGTGCCAAGAGAGGATATAAGCAGGAAGAAATGGGAACTCATTCTCTTATCCCATGAGATGCTAAGGAAATAAAGGTGGCTTTGGCTTGCTCCTTCTTCTCTCTGGTCTCTCAGCATTTTCCTATGTCTGACTCTGGGTTTTTATTATTCAGACCAATTAAGAACTCCTTTTTACACATTTGTCTCTGATTCTAGACTTTAAATAATGCCATTGCACTTCGACTTCGACTCCTCTTTATTCAGCATGCAACTATACCTCCTATTCAAGTTCGGTTTCAGTCCACAGCCCCACTCTGGAGGAGATGCCATCCATGAAGTTGAACTGAAGAAGACCAGGCATGAAGATGCTTGTAAATTTTTAGCATGGCATCTTGGTCAATTCACTTGATGGTGTGCTCCCTCAGAGCACTGAAAGTCAGCTGTGTATGATGATGCCCCCACCACTTATCAGAAAGTGAGAGAATGGGAGAGCCTGGCCTCATCCAGTCAGAACTCATCTTGCTACTCTTTACTGTGGAAACTCTTCTATAATACCCATAAGTAAAAGGCACAGGTTAGTTTCTCTGATCCTTCAGAACTCATGAGGCAAACACACAAATCTGAGAACAGCACTATGAAACACTTCAAGGCACCATTTTCTTAGGAATACATCTTTGGATAACTCCTCACATTAATCCTACACTTACAAGTAATGCCTTCTTCCCAAACACAACCAAAAAGTATTAGAAATTGAGGGGTTCACAGACACTCATAGAGAAATCCAAAATGCTCAATTACATTCTTTTATATAGGGCAAAAGGGCATAACATGGAGCTTGATGTCATTCTAGTTGTCTTAAAGGGAGGTCACTGAAATAAGTTGCAAGTGCCGTGGCCTGACCAAAAACAATGCTTTGAATCCATTGGGGGCATGTCTATGAGTATTCTCCTTTAAATCTTTTCAACTCAGTTTGTTCCTTTTCTTATACTACTAATTTAGTGTATTTTCTTTCTTGTATTGTTCCCTATAGATTTAGCACACCCCATCAATTTTTCAAGAACAATCTCAAAGAAAAGCTTTGAAAATGGACAAAAACAAGGCCCTTGAGGAAGTTCTGTCAGGACACTTGAATTACAGCTGCTCTAAAACTCAGTTGAAGACTGCCAAGTGCCCTTCATTTTTTACCCTTCACGGCACCACATCAGAGAGAGTTTTGCACAAACTCACCTGTCCTCTTTGAAAACGAACTGGCATGTTGGATCTGTGCAGCAGCCGAAGGCCGGAGTCTCCCCTTTCACCGTAGAGACAGAGGTAGATGTCAGATTCTGTTTCTGCTTTTTTCAGCTGCCCAGTATAGACATCAACATGATATCTCACCACTGCCAAAGCAATGGAGAGAGAAATCAAGAGGAAATCTATCACCTTAGATTCAAGCCTAGATCTACATGTTCCCAGGCAGTAGCTAGAAAACCTCACATGGCAAATCTGCTGTCTATATTTTCTTCCTACTGAAAAACCTTTGGCCCTTGAAGTTTAATTTTAATTCTAAATGGACATTTATTTCAAATGGAGAAACAAAAGAATTCTTAAAAGACTGGTATGCAAATGGCATAGAAAGGTATTTTCTCCTTAGCAGTGAAAGAAATTTGTTTTTATGTGTGATGCCTAATGTTGAAATGATGTCAAACTATTCTGAGGAAATAAATCAGGGCGGCAAAGGTGGCTGAGTGGCCAGCTGGCTCTGGCAAGGCCAAACAGGGACATGCATGATGCTCCTTATCTGACAGCCTTAGTTTTTCTGACTGCTGCTAGGCATGAGAACCGTTTTGAGATCTGTTTAATCCCATATTCACTGTTGACTGGGGCAAGGTTTCTTAATGAGAAACAAGAATCTGAGAAACAGGAAAATTATCCTCCAAATGCATAGTACAGAAGCAGGTTAAAGCACCTACAAAGTATTAGGCACATGCAACATAGGCTACCAAAGAGTAATAACACACATGGAAAAATAGGCTCTCCTTCTTTCATTACAGGAAGCTCACAGACAATGTCCCCATTTGCGTGATTCCGAGACAGCCTTGCATTTGCATCAAAAGTTAGGGTCTTCTTGCTCTTCATATGTTCCATTGTTACCTGGGATTAAAAGAAGCAATGGTCAAATGGAGTGATTTCTAATTTTTCATCCTTCTCTATATACAAAACCCAGCATAGATATTGTTCACAGTGACCACTGTGGTGCCAGTGGGATGGTTGTTAGCAGTGGCTTGCTAGGAGCATTGATTAGATCTTTATTTGACAAACATTTTTAATGGTTTATTTTCAGCTTTAAAAAAATTAATCTCTTAGGCATCACTAAGCAGGTTGGTGAATTTCTGACAATTGTATCCACAAGAAAACGGAAACTCAGGCATTTACAGTGGACTCCATCCAATTGAAAGATCTCAATTCTTATTGTGTCAGTGACCAAAAAGGCAAACTACTGGAGAAATTCAAAAGGAGAATCTGCTACAGTGTTAATCACCAAAGTAAGGCACACAACAGAGTGCTTTAAAATTTCCAGTGCCCTACAAGTGCATTCCAACACACGCAAGCTATAGAGAAGCCCCCAGCTGCTTGCTCTCCCTGGCATGTCTTCAGAGTTCTTGCCTCCCCAGGAGAAGAAGATTATCAGAAGCCTTGCTCCTTTGGGCTACTTCCCATGAAATTGTCTTCATATACCAATAAATCAACACAAGCCTTCCCAATGGAACTTCACAATTGTTTGTCTTCCCAACTATGTAAAGGATGGAATGAATGCCCATGAGTTGTGTGAGTGTTGTCCTCAGCAATGAGTCCTACAGTCAGTTTGTGGAGAGCAACCCATTGTCTTAGCAACATACTAGGTTATTTGGGGATTTCTATGAGACCCCCTTGACCACCCGGTCCCAGTACCAGAAGACTCATTTGGTAACAAAAGATGGCCAGTTGGGACTTGGTCACCCCTATTTTGGCGATTTTCCACAGCACTGTTTCCTTACTATCTCTCAAATACACCTCAATTGTAGATGTCTCTTCCTACATTCCTTTTCTATGTCACCTCCTCACCTGATCCTCCAACTCACATCTTACCCCACCCACAGTACACCCATAAAATCCATTTTACTTTCCCCTCCAGGGAGATCCATGTGTCCCCCTACGCCCTTACTCTATACCTACCCTCTCTAGGTCTGTAAACTGTAGGTTGGCTGTCATTCATTTAATAGTATTCACATATAAATGAATACACACCACATTTATCTTTCTGGATCTGGTTTACCTCACTCAAAATGTTTTTTCTAGATTATGAGGGTTATCAAAAGAGAAACAAACACCAACCACAAAGCCCTTGACCTACAATATATCCTATCTACCAGATATGCTAGGGCAATAGTGGTAATGTCTGATTTGACTTTAATCCCACTCTGTGAGATGGAACCCATACAAAACACTGTTTGGGTGGCCAAGACAGAAACTAGATAACTAGTGACCTAAGGTAAAACCAAATGCCACTAGTCTTAAAAAAATAAGTTACAATAAAATGACTCCAAATGATATTCTGCTGTACTGATAGATTTGTGTCTTCCTCAACTATCATCAGAGAGGCTTTTACTGTAGCAGATGGGGACAAATACAAAGACCTACAAGTAGGTGTTAGAGAGACAGACAGACAGAGAGAGAGAGAGAGAGACCTTTAAATTGAACACATCACACTAAATGAGATGTCTCCATCAAATTCCTCCCCATCAGAGCTCCTCAGAGCTCTGGGGACCCTACAGAAGAGGAGGCAGACAGGGTGTAAGAGACAGAGGGGATGAAAGACACCAGGAGAACAAGGCTCTCTGAATCAACTGAGCAAAGCTCATATGAACTCACAGAGACGGAAGTGGCAAGAAGTCTGTACCAGGTTCTCTGTTATACACATTACAGCTTTTAGCTTCTTATTTTTATGGAACTCCTGAGAGCATGAATAAGTGGGTCTCTGATTTTTGTGTCTATTCTTGGAACTATTTTCATCCTGTTGGGTCTCTTGTCCAGCCTTGAAGTGATGGTTTTTGTTTATACTTTATCTTGTCATGTTTGGTTGTTATCTCCTAGAAGCCTGTCCCTTTCTAATGAGAAACAAAAAGGGAGTGGTGGATCCAGAGGAGAAAGGAGATGGTGAGGCACTGGGAAGAATAGGCAAAAAGGAAACTGTGATAAAGAAATATTATATAAGAAAAGAAGTTATTTTAAGTAAATGAAAAATCAAAATAAATAAATAAAATTAGAAAATTGTGTTTCATTGAGAAAAATACAGTCTATTTTAATATAAAAATGAGATGGGAATTTTTCACTATGGCTTGGGATGTTTGGGGTTCCTTTCTAATATCTTCCAAATGCTATTCAGAGGAAATATTAAGGATAAAATTGACTACACATCACCTCTTTTTTTTGGTTTTATGAGACAGTGTTTCTCTGTATTGTTTTGGAGGCTGTCGGTCCAGCCTGGCCTCGAACTCACAGAGATCCGCCTGCCTCTGCCTCCCAAGTGCTGGGATTAAAGGCGTGCACCACCACTGCCCGGCATCACATCACCTCTTTTGATGAGCATCTGAAGTGTGGAAGATATGTTACAAGATCTGGTTTTGGGCAGGGAGAGCCACTGCCAAGGTCAGCGATTAATGTTTTCTTTCTGGTGTCAGAATGTGAAAAGGTCATAAGACTGTAACTTCTCTTGAAGAACATTTTAAGTGTCCTTGCAAATCAGATGCAATGTCAGCCTTGGGCTCTGAAGATTTACATTTCCTCCTGCACCTCATGCTACTCCCATTAGTTACAAGCACTGGACAAGGGATCAGGGATGGATGGCAGCTCTCTCAAACACACAAATTTATTTTTGCTTCAAATAAGCTAGCACGACTTTGAGAGCATGTCTATAAATTGTTGGTATCTTCTGAGATTAAGCATTTGACTAAAGATTTTCAGAAAGGAAGCAGGTTTCCTGCTGCTCAGTGAGCCAGAAACCATTTTCCCTGCTGTAATTCAGTACTTGATCTTTTCTTTCAGTGGTTCTTTCTAGAACTCTGAAGTGAGGAAGTAACCAAAAATGAAAGGAAAGGGAAATAAATACTTAGGAGGTAATTTAGTTAAATCTAAAGATTTCCTGGGGTTGATACCAATTCTGCTATCATTTCATGTAATGAAAGTGTTAACAGATTCACCAAACCTATAACACATTCAAAGGCTTAAAAGTATCGAGGGGTTTCTAGAGAGTTTTGCTCTATTTCAGTCCCTTTATGTAAGCAGCATGTAGCAGAGGCAGCCAGCAAGTGCAAGAAGGGCCTCTGGGCCAGCCTGGCCTCTTGAAGAATGAATGAGGCAGGCATGCTAGAATGTTCTTTTACCTGTTCTTCATACATGGCCATGGCTTAGTCATGGAATTCCAAACAATACTATATGACTTCCCTTACAAAGTAGTTCATACATCTTATAAATATTTCCTAAGTGAACAATATACATTTTATCAATTTCTTATTAATTTTCACAAATATTAGCCCAACGTCTGATAAGTAGCACTATTCTAGACTTGGGATCTATGACAGAGTTCCTAGTCTGTGATTCACTTTCCAAAGGAGGTCAGACAGCAAATACAAAGACATTAGATAAAAACTGTGGTAGCATAGAAAAGAAAAAGTGTTGATATAACTGAAAGCCCCTGACTGCTCACTCTCAGTTCTGAGTCAAAGGGCAGTCTGGGCATGAGACTGGTGCTTGAATGCCATGACCAAGGGCAGAGATGTCACAGGAGTGGGTAAGGCCAGCTGGAGAATATATATATTAGAGGTGCATTCTAGCAGTGAGGTCACTGGGAAACAAGAGAAGTAACTAACTCAGGAGAATGTGTAGGATTCTGATGTGGACTGCTGGTGGGTAGCAACACCATCTATTCATGCAAGTAAGCCTGAGGGAGAAGCAGGCTTGGGTCCCTAGTGAAGAGTTCTCTAGAATTTCACTTAATGCTTTCACTTGGTATGCAGAATCTGTGGAATAGAGCACAGGTAAAATTGTGCCTTACTTAAAGTTTAGAGAAGTCTTAGAAAGTGACAAATTGTGAGAAATTAAACATTGTTTATGCCTTTGACTTCAATTTTAAAATTTATAACTTGATTTGAAACAACGTGAATTCCAGAGAAGGAAAATTAAATAATTTTATTTAATACCACTTGCTAAAATGTGTTCCAGTCTTGCTTTCCTCAACAGTTGAAGTTAATTTTTGTCAGATTATGCTCGGTTATAGGCACCTTCTTTTGAGTCCAAGTTACTTAAAAGTTAAATTAGAATCAATTCAATCATCTAGATTACTGTTCTGCTATAGTAGCATGGGCACTGACAAGCACAGATGGGCAATGCATAAAAGTAAGTCAAACCCTCAAAGTGCCCCTAATATTTGTTGTCTACAAGAAAGGAAAGTATAACTGTGTAATACATAGACTCCCTATTACACTGATGGCCCTATGACGCAGACCCCCTTGTACAATGATGGCCCTATGACACAGACCCCCTTGTACAATGATGGCCCTATGACACAGACCCCCTTGTACAATGATGGCCCTAGACCCCATTGTATATTGATAACCCTATGCCACAGACCCTCTTGTACACTGATGGCCCTATGTCACAGACCTCCTAGTACACAGGTAGCCCTATGCTACAGACCTCCTAGTGCACCGATGGCCTTCAGCTGTCAGAACATCAGGGAATAGGTGGCTGCTCCTTAAAATTTAATTTTGATGTTTTACCAATTTTTAAGGTGAACTCTGAGAAGTTCAAACACTTGAGAGATTCACTGGCTTGCCCCAAAGAGTAACGTGTTCTAAGTGCATTCATTGGTAATCACAAGATGCTATTGACTGTAAGTGGTGCATAAATGCCAGCTGGGAAAGGAGGCTCATGGGACACGGCCTAATGATGGCTGATGTTCAGATTTTCTCACTCCATTAAAGGCTACCATGGATCATCATAGAAACAAAGCTTCTCTTTAATTCATAAATAGTACTTCTCCTGGCCTCCATACCAAAACATGATCTCATATTATTCTGTCTATATTAAAAGATTTGACACTGTGACTTCTGTTC